TGGCCCGGTACCCCATACTCCCAGAGAACCCCCCTCAATAATCAAACCCCCCAGGTTTGATTATTGATTAACTAATTTTTATAATGGTGAAATCTTTTAGAATTCCACAAATGATGCCTCCATGATGAAAAATTTATACGTTGTACTCAAATTCTTGTTAAAATATTCACCCATCCAACGACTTTTAAACCTGCAGCCTTTATCAACGATCTGCAGGAAAGATGGGAAACACTCCAGACAAGTTACAGGACCACACTGAGACAAACATTCAGACTTAAGACCAATAGTTAATCTAATGTGCATGTTTTTTGTCAGAGGAAACCAGAGTATTTTTTTTATAAATAAGACTCTGAGCACTTGTGGTTGTTTATTCTAAAACGACTGTGTTAATTGTCGCCTTTACCCAGAGCTCATATCCAGGCCGTACATCCACATGGAGGCCTCATCAGTGCTGGAGCTCAGCGAAAATGTCATCCTCAACTGCTCCCACGAGAACGGAACCAGAACCACGTACAGGTGGTTCAAAGGTGGAAGGCCTCTGACCAATGAAACGAGGTTTGTGTTGTCACCTGACCAGAAGCTGCTGACCATCAAGCGAGTGCTGATGGCAGATGACGACATCTATGGCTGCGCAGTGGAGAATCCTGTGAGCAACGTAACAAGCCAGCCTCTCAGACTCTCTGTGTACAGTAAGTGATTATAACGTCTGGTTACAGTGCAGGTCAGAGTTAAATACACAGCTAAATGCATAAAAATGTCATTATATGGTAATTACTTTAATCTTGCACGTGATATTAGAAAGAAGTTCCCTCTACATCATCCTTTCTACTGGAGGAATCTTCCTCCTCATCACCTTTGTGGCCGTGTGTGCATGTTGGACTCCTTCTAAAAAGTACAATTTATTTAAAACAATTATTAATCTGCCGTTCAAATGATTTTTAAAGTGCGTTAAAAAAATTATTAAGCTTTTATCCATTGCTGTCCTTAGGTCAAAGCAGAAACCCAAAACGTCTTTATCCAGGATTTACAGCCGTTCTCGTCACACACCTCTTAATCAAAATGGTAAAGTGAAAATATTTCTGGTTCACTAACATGATCATTTCAGTCTGTGAAAACTGATTCAAAGCCACCGTGACAGTCTAATGTGTTGTGTTTGATCACAGATTATGTGCTGCCCAAAACTGCAAAGCGTAACGGGATTAATGCAGTAACTTCACTTTATGTCCTCCAGCAAAAGGTAACACTTCCATCACCTCTGCTTTCATTACAATCTGTTAACTTTTTGGAATAACGTGTTAAAAATGAAGTAGCGTTTTAGGATTAAGCCCAAGGAAGTGGGCCAATCTGTGCTTTAATATTGACCTTGGATGAACTAAGAATCCTGCAGTTTGTGAGACACACCATCACAATGTCACCCTAATCCTGGCTCATTCTTAGATTCAGTGGCTGTATTAGCTCTGTAACAGTGAATAAACTTCAACGTGGCTTGAAAGTGTTGCGTTTAAAAGGCTAAAGATTATAATGAAAAGATGCAACATGCTGGTAATGAACTGGTTAAAGCTGACAGCCCTTTGTTGTGCAGGATCCATCCATGGACGACTCCTCCAGCAACAGTATTGGATCTCCTGAGTGTGACAATCCACCGTCCTACACCTCTTTCTCCAAATACACACATTCCCTGAGCCGGACAGCTGGCTCCCCAACCTGTGCCGTCCCTAGTTAGACTGAGTGCCACTATCACTCTAATTCAAAATGCCTTAAAGTCCTAAAATCAAATGTTGAATGGTCTGTTCAATGAAATGCCATGCCCCATTTATATAAATATGTGTTCATCACAAACAAAAAGATATGTTTGTCAGTATTCAGCTTTTTTGCTCTTTTATTTTCTAGAAAACCTGTTCAAAAGGTCTTATAACACTTATATTAACTGTGCCTCCAATAAAATGCTCAGTTGAGTTTAGGTTAAATTTGAACTTCGTAGTTTCTTAAAGACTTTTTATTGAGCATTGTAGTTGTTTTACAAGAAGTAAACCAGTTTTGGTTGCCTATAGAGATGGTACAAAAAAAGAAAATGCGGTGTGAGTTTAAGAAGCGGCTCTGTGTGAGTGACTTTCAGTGTAAAAGTCAAAGAACAAATTGTGGTATTGTGTAAGAAATTAAAACAAAGTGGCTGTCTTGTGAAATGAAGATACGTGATTTTCAATTTTTGAAAACTTCATTAAAATGTAAAATTCAAATGAATCTTGGATTATTTGTTTCTTCTTGTTCTTTTTACAATTTAAATGGTTTTATTTTCTAACTCACTATCAATTAATGGGAGGTTGGACCCAATAATGTAGATTTGCATGAGGAGCTCAAAACATAAACTTTTTTTTGTTAAATAAAAAAAGGCTGACCGGTCAGCAAAAGTACTTACAACACACACTTTCTTGTGTATTGAAGTCTGGGGGAAAGCGTGCAAAACAATTACAAATCCTATTTTTATTTTACAGAAAAGAGCTGTGAGAATTATTTCTAGAAATCTTTACAGTCACCCATCAAATACATAATTTTATCAACTGAAGTTATTGACGTTCTGTGATTCGGTTGATTATATTTAATCAGTAAAAACACATCACCTTTAAAAATCCCATTTAATTACAGTCTCAAGGGAACAGAAATGTGGGTAAAACCTAAATTTTGAAATAAGGAGCGGTGTACTTCAATCCAAGGAATAAAATTATGGAATAATCTGGAGAGTGATGTAAAAAATGCCAAATCAGTGTTTATGTTTAAGAGAATGATCAAAGTTGGTTTGCTGAAAAAATATGAAATAGCATAATGTGTATCTGTATGAATTGCTGCTCGAGAAAGAGTTACCATTTATTTATTGACTGACTGATTTGTTATTTGAATATTTTTTTAAATATTTATTTTGGAAAAAAGGGGCAGATATAAGATTGTAAGAAGAGAGTGGTGTCTGATTTTAATCTTGCACAGACCACATCCACTGCCTTATCGACAGGAACGCACGTAAAGAGCGATGTAACATCAAGAGACCATAGTTTCATCCGCCTCCATGATGACATCCCTCACCTTGTCCTCACTTGGGTAAAGTCATGATGTGAGTATCAGTCACATGGAGGCAGTGCTTAAAAGCCTGAATTTTGCCTGAAACTCTCAGACTGAAGAAGTCTCTTGGAGGAGAGACAAAACGTTTCATTAAAGAAGAACCCGTCCAGAAGTAGGGCTGTGTATTGGCAAGAATTTGGCGATACGATACAT